CGTTCGACGAGTCAGTCCCCTTCTACCGTCTCTTCCCCTACCGCACTCCTTCCCTCCCCCCTCCCCGGACTTCCTTGTGCGGTTCCCCCCCCGGTAGACCCCCTCCCCCCTCAGGTTCCTGCCCCCTCAGGTGTGTCCCAGGTAGACGCCGTTGACCCGGTCGAGGTTACTGGTGACTCTGGTGCTGCTGCGGGTGCTGAGCCTGGGGGTGCTGACTCTGGGGGTGATGTGCGCGGGGGTGCTGAGCCTGGGGTGCTACTGCTGGGGGTGCTGGGCCTGAGGGTGCTACTGCGGAGGGTGCGGAGCCTGGGGGTGCTGAGCCGGGGGGTGCTGTGCCTGGAGGTGCTGGGCCTGGGGGTGCTGCGTCTGGAGCTGCTGAGCCCGGAGTTTCTCCTGCTGCTGCGTCTCGCCGGGAGCCCCTCTCTCCACAGGAGCTGCGCGAGTGGTTCGCTCGCCGCTGGAGGCGTGCTGCTGAGTCTGGAGGTGCTGCTGGAGCTGGAGCCGGAGCTTCTTCTGGACCGTCGAGGGTGCGGGTGCTGCCGGTCCGGAGCTCCTGGACCTGCGGGTCCTCCTGGAGCTGGAGCTGCTGAGGGGGTCGGTGCTGAGCCTACTGCTGTTGGTCCTGCCGCTGGAGGTGTGGGTGGCGCTGGTGCTGTCGCTGAGGGTGCTGGTGCTGTCCCTGCTGCGTCTGGAGCTGCTGAGCCTGGGGTTTCTCCTGCTGCTGCGTCTCGCCGGGAGCCCCTCTCTCCACAGGAGCTGCGCGAGTGGTACGCTCGCCGCTGGAGGCGTGCTGCTGAGTCTGGAGGTGCTGCTGGAGCTGGAGCTGGAGCTTCTTCGACCGTCGAGGGTGCGGGGCTGCCGGTTCCGGAGCTGCTGGACCTGCGGGTCCTCCTGGAGCTGGAGGTGCTGAGGGCGTTGGTGCTGAGCCTACTGCTGTTGGTCCTGCCGCTGGAGGTGTGGGTGGCGCTGGTGCTGTCGCTGCGGGTACTGGTGCTGTCCCTGCTGAGTCTGGAGCTGCCGCGCGGCCTCGGCCGTACTTCGTTCCGCTCCTACAGCAGGTTCTTGGTCTTTCTCCTTCGGTAGAGTGTCCACAGCCTGTCCAGTCGCAGTCACTGTTGGAGCCTTCCTCTCCTCTGCCTGCTCCCTCTCCTTACACTGGTCCTACTGGAGGTCTTGCTGAGCGTCGTGAGCCTGCGTCTCGTCCCGCGTCGCCTGTTCGTGCTGCTCGCGCTAGTGGTCGCGGTTCACGTCAGCGTCCTCCTCCTGTCCCTGGCACGCACCGGATGTCTCTGCGTCCGTCCACTGCTCCTCTGCGTGCCCCTTTGCCTTCTCCTCCTGAGTCCTCTCTTCCTGCGCTTGCCGACCCTGAGTCGGACTCTCTTCGCGCTGCCAGTCCTACTGTCACGCGTCTGCTTGCTACTGTCGTCACTGACCCCTCTTTTGAGTCCACTGCTGCGTCTGCTCTAGTCGCTGAGCTCGTGACTTTGCTGCTCGCTGTCGTCTCGACTACGCTGCTGGTCTTGTTACTGAGTCTGCGTCTGTCTGTCCTCCGTCCGTCGGGGGTGAGTGTGCTCTTGGCACGGACGTCCTAGAGGACAGACAGGAGGAGTTACAGTGTCTAGCGGCTGCTTCACCTCATCTCACGTCTGTACTGCTTGCCCCTGAGGGAGACCCGGATGCACTAGACATCCCGACTCCGCGTTCTTACGCGGAGGCCGTAGAGGGTCCCTACTCCTCTCAGTGGCAGGCAGCTATGGATGCAGAGATGGCTTCCTGGAAGTCCACAGGCACCTACGTTGACGCAGTTCCCCCTCCTGGGGCGAACATCGTCAGTGGCATGTGGATCTTCCGGGTGAAGCGGCCGCCGGGCTCTCCACCTGTCTTCAAGGCGCGGTATGTTGCTCGTGGCTTCAGTCAGCGGCAGGGAGTTGACTACTTTCAGACCTTCTCTCCCACCCCGAAGATGACCACTCTTCGGGTGCTGCTGCACATAGCCGCTCAGCGCGACTACGAGCTTCACTCTCTTGACTTCAGCACTGCGTTCCTGCAGGGTAGCCCGCACGAGGAGATCTGGCTGCGCCGTCCACCTGGCTTCACTGGGACTTTCCCTCTTGGCACCCAGTGGAGCCTCCGACGGCCAGTCTACGGTCTCCGCCAGGCACCACGTGAGTGGCACGACACACTGAGGACTACGCTTGCGGCTCTTGGGTTTGCTCCTTCTACTGCTGACCCGTCGCTGTTTCTGCGCACCGACACTTCACTGCCGCCGTTCTACATCCTCGTGTACGTCGACGACTTGGTCTTTGCCACAGCGGACACTGCTGGACTCGCCCACGTGAAGTCCGAACTGCTGAAGAGACACACGTGCACAGACCTGGGTGAACTGCGCAGCTACCTTGGCTTGCAGATCACTCGGGACAGAGCACGCCGCACCATTACCTTGACTCAGTCACACATGGTGCAGCAGGTCCTTCAGCGGTTCGGCTTCACGTACTCCTCGCCTCAGGCCACTCCTCTGCCTACTCGCCACTCACTCTCAGCTCTGCCTTCGGATGAGTCCGTAGAGTCGAGTGGTCCGTATGCAGAGCTTGTGGCTGCCTCATGTACCTGATGACCTGCACACGACCTGACCTTGCATATCCCTGAGCATTCTTGCACGCTATGTTGCTCCTGGGAGACACAGACCAGAGCACATGGCTGCAGCGAAGAGGGTATTGCGCTACCTGTGCAGTACGTCGGGCATGGGGCTTGTGCTTGGAGGGCGGAGTCCAGTGGTCCTTACCGGCCACGCGGACGCTTCTTGGGCTGACGACCAGGCTACGCAGCGGTCGTCACAGGGTTACACCTTCAGCCTTGGTTCCGGCTCTGTCTCGTGGCGGTCTACTCGCTCGTCTTCAGTTCTCGGCTCTAGTTGTGAGGCTGAGATCTACGCCGGGGCCATGGCTGCACAGGAGCTTCGCTGGCTCACCTACTGCTGACTGACCTTGGAGAGCCGCCTCGTTCTCCTCCAGTGCTGTACGTAGACAACAAGGCCATGCTGGCCTTGTGTCGAGAGCAGCGCTTGGAGCACAGAACGAAGCACATTGCTCTCCGCTACTTCCTTGCTCGTGAGCTGCAGCAGCGTGGTCAGTTGCGACTTGCGTACGTGGCCTCTGAGGCCAACACTGCTGATGTGTTCACCAAGGCACTCGCGCCTTGTGATCATCAGCGCTTTTGCACCCAGCTGGGTCTTGTGTCTGTCTTGCCTCACTTGCTCTCCTCTTGACTTTACTTGTACTGTGACATATATATATACCTGCTCTTGCTTGTCTAGTTTTTATATATGTCTGTACTCCTGCATGTGAACTGGCCTCTGGCCCTGCTCTTGTGCTCGGACTGTGTGGTGACTTTGTGATCCACCTGAGCTTGCTTTGCTTTGCTTGACTGGTCTTGTGACCCCTTGTTCTCCCCCACTTTGCCTATGGGGGTGTGTCAAACATTATATATGTTATGCTTGTGTAGGCTACAGTGGGTTAGCCTATAGGGGGTACACCATTCTAGGGTTTCCTACTTGTACTCATTTCACTGCTAGTTCATTCATTCCCTGTTTCTTATTCTCACAAGGGGCCCCACCCCATGCAACCAACAACCAGGTTTCACGTCGAGGCCAATAGTGCCCCGCCGGCCCACGAAGAGCTCCTCCTCCCGCGTCTCGGAACGCGCCCTGCCTCCTCGCCCTTGAACCCCCCTGGTCCGTCGCGGTGGGAGGGATGGCAAACAGCTAACACCCTACGTCCGGTCTCATTTTGTTGCTGTTTCCGATTTTTACTTCACTACTTCCTAGTCCCTGCTAGTTCCCAACTCCCCTGCGCGCCCGCCCTGTCCACTGCTAGGCCTGACATGGCTACGGGCCCCGCCTCCGTACCCGTCATGAACCAGCCGACGGTTCGACGCGGCCTCATCCTTAGTGCAGGCGGCGGGGTCGAGGTGGAGGTGTACGAGGACCAGCTGAATGCGATTAGCGAGGCGCCGAAAGGGGAGCTCGACGAGAGCATGATGACCGCGGGCGTCGTGTACGTGTCGTGTCGAACATTTTCAGCTTGCCATGTTTCGGTTTACCTGTCGCTGACGTTGCCTTAGCTTTCCGTGCAGCCTGTTCTGTCATGAGCTGCTGTCCGTCGAGCAGCTCCCCAAGGTGTTGATTGTGACTCCGGCGCCGGTGCGCCGTGAAGAGATGGCCCGTCCCACCCCGGCCCGCTTTTGCAAACAACCACCTCGACGGCCTCCTCGGCAAGCAAGTGGTTTTCGTTCTGCTGCGGACACCGTGAGTTCAACACTCTCCCGTCGCCTTGGTTGCTCCGTCTTTAGCCCTGAACCCGTTCTCACGTGCATTGGCTCTGCATGCAGACGAAGTGTACCTCCGTTCTCCACTCGAGCCTATTTGTGGTATCGCGCCCGACGATCTGCTGGCTCCGAGGCACCATGGCAGTCGAACTCGATGATGCACTTCGATTCAAAAGACAAGGTTTCCCGATATGAACCACCAGGATTCTCTGGCGCAAGAGGTTCCGTGTGAGTGACAGCTTTTGCCACCCTGCTGTCGAGCTGCTGTTCTCGACAATCTTACTCTTCTGTTCCGTTGCGTCGCAGGTGGATGAAGAAGCAGCTTCGTGCCGAGTACGCAATGACCCACCAAGCTCTGACCCAAGCACGACCAAGAAGTGTTGAGCGTGATTTGACCTTCGTCTGGAGTTGAACGATGATTTCGATCGGTCTAGTAAGCTCTTCTAGACCACCAGTGATCTTGTCGAGCATGTCTTCTGTCGCTTACGTATGTTTTGTACCCGTCGCAGACGACGACGCCCTTGTCGAGCCCCCATGAAACGGCGCGGCAGCTCGTGTCGTGCATGGGGTGCGCCGGATTCTGTCGAAATGGGACGACTTCATCCTGCCAGCCTCGAAAGGGCGAACTCGTGCCTCTCGGGAGAACGAACCCTGGCCCGGTTGCGCTTCCATTGTTCATGGTCAAGCGGTTTTGGAGAAAGATCAACGAGGTGGCGGAGGGAGTAGGTGTGGGAGGGGGTGCCGACCACGAGGGAGGAGGCGAGGAGACGGCAGGCGCCGTGGTAGAGTACAGCGTCGAGGAGGAGGAGGGAGGAGGAGGAGGAGGAGGAGGAGGAGGAGGAGGAGGAGGTCAAGGAGGATACATCAAGGCAGGCTCAGCGCGGGTGCGCGCGGCCCGGGTGGCGGTGCGAACGAGGACGAGGACTCGAGCTCGGGACCGATCTCCGGCTCGAGCTCGAGCGATGAGTCGGTCGAGGACGACGGCCACGGCGCCGGACATAGCACAGAGCGTACGGGGGAGCATGGAGTGGCGTTGGGGGGAGCATGTGGACGATGCGGGTAGAGCAATCGAGCAGCAGGAAATGGGCGAAACTACGGCTGTCAATGAGCTGGAGGGCGGTGCGGTTGCGCAGGAGGGTGGGGTCGGAGGGTAGCAGCAGGTTGGCGAGGCGGCCTGCACAGGAGGGTGGGGCAGGAGGGCAGCAGCAGGAGGGCGTGGCGGCTGCGCAGGAGGGTGGGGCAGGAGTGCAGCAGCAGGAGTTTAGGGTGGCAGCTGCGCAGGTGGGTGGGGCGGGAGGGCAGGAGCAGGAGGGCGGGGAGGCGGCTGAGTATTGTCGAGGAGATGATCGACAGGCCGTGATAACAAGGAGACACGGCACGGCCAGTGGCAACGGACAGGCGGGCCCTTCGACCGGAGGGCCTTCGACGGCAGGCCAATCGACGGCGAACGTTGCACCTGGAGGTCAGGTCGTCGAGCTACTGCAGAGGGTCAAGAAGGTCGCAGTGTCGCAGAAGCAGCTCGTCGCCGACGTGTTTGCGAAACACACTGAGCAAGCCGGAGTATTCAACACGCTTGCGGCGGATTTCGGACGGCCTGGAATACGATTTCGGAGTCGTCGAAGAGCACACTGTCGCAGTGCGCCGAGGCTGTGAAGGGTGTCATGGCGGAGAGGAAATGTTGAAAGGGGCGAGGGCGAAGATCGACGAGATGACCGGGAAGATCATCGAGGAGGTTTCAGCCGCCATCACAAAAGCGAGCGAGGACGCCGTCGAGAAGCAGCTCAAGCAGGTCGAGGAGCGGTTGGTTGCTGCGGTGCTGAAGGGTTTCGAGAAAGCCATCAAGGAGGACATGTTTTACACTAACCTCCCACCTGAGACCATGAAGGAGCTGAAGGACATAGTGAGGCAAGGCTACCAGGAAGGCGAAGCTGGGCGACTGGAAGTCCTCACCGAAGCGATGGCGAGAGGTTTTCAGCGATCGACGGGCCCGTCGACGAGGTCGCGTCAGGAGGGTGTGGCAGGGGTTCGCTGCGGCGTTGAGCCTTGTGGTCACGAGTGCTCGGTTCCTCCGTCTTCTTCGGTGGGAGGACATGTCACCAAGCCTGTCGAGGATAACGAGGTCATCGTTCTCGACCAGTCGCCCCTCCCGAAGACCTCTGCAGCGGCTCCTATCGCTCCGCCTGATGCGTTCGCTTCGATGCGGGACATGCTGCAGGACCTGGGGAAAACGGATGGGAAAGGAGTGGTTGCGGGGGAGAAAAGTGGTGCCCCGAACGTGCACGTCGCCTCAACCGGGAATAGAGCCCTTGGAAATCGAGGTGCCTCTACCCCGTCCGGCGTCAGTGCGGGGAAAGGAGCGGGAGAGGCAACCGCTGGGTTGATGTCGAAGACTAAAGGGGCATCAGCTGTGCAGAGCGGTGCTGCTAGCCGAGCTGTCGAGCATGTGGGAAATTGGGCGTCGTCCTCAACCCCTCCAGTTGCTCCTGTCGCCACTGCTCCGGCCCCTAGGCAACGTTTGCCTTAGCGATCCGGGCTCCCCTTCAACGTCGAAGAAGAAGCCTGCTGCGACGAAGTCGTCGAAGCGCTCTGCACATGCGACAGAGAGCCTTGGGGTCGTGGAGATGGCCAGCGTCCCTGGTCAGGCGCATGTCGAGAAGACCACTATTGTCGTTGCTGCTCGACAGGAAAAGTCGAAGAAGGCCAAGGTGATGGGTTACACCCCACCTCCTCCCCCGGACGACCAAGGCAAGACGAGTGGCTGCAAAGCTCCCTTCAAAGGACAGGGTTTCGGGTTGCGGAAGGGGAAGCCGGTTTCCGAGCAGACCGTCGGCGGGAAGAAGCGGTTCTTGGGACACTTTGAAACGGAGAAGGACCAAAAGTTCTGTACGGCCATCTGCTGGCGCGTGTACTTCCCCGACATTGTCCTTACCGAGTACGAGGCGTTTACGGCGCTGGATGAGCAGGAGTGGAAGGTCTATCTTGATGCAGCTGCTAAAATGCCAACTGGCGTTTGGAGCGTGGCGCAAGAACAAGGGCAATGTTGTTTTGACGTGTGAGTTCTGTCGAATTCTTGCTGTTTGACATTTGTGTCGAAGTTCTGTTGTTGGTGTGTTTTGTCGAACACATGCTGTTTGGTTGTGAGTTTTCTATCGGTCGGAGTCTGGCCTCCTGGCTTACGCGTTTGTTGCGATGTGCAGTTTCCAGTTGCTGTTGGCGACGGCAAATAAGGAAGTTCGAGCTGGAACCGACCGGGGAATCGCGCTGTGCGCGGCGATTGGTAAGGTTGCGACGCTTGGCATGAAGCACGAGAACCTGATTTATCCGGTTCCTAAGGGCATGGCGGCGACACCACACATGATGGCCATCGCTGCAACTCTGGCGAGCTTGTGGGCGGCGTACAGGAAGTTGTCGAGGGAGGATATTAAGAAGGATGCCCTAGCTGCCGCAAACGCTACTCTCTTCGCCCTGGAGACTGCGACCAAGGCTTGTGTGGCTGCCATGGCCGCGCTCGTGTCCATACTTTTGCACGTCGGCAAGACGTTCCCGGCGAAGCAGTGGTCCGATCAGCTGTATTCGTCGGCTGTCGAAGGTCTCGGCTCGACGGACCCTGTCCTGTTGCAGATGGTGCGCGTGGCCGCACAGGTCTGCACGCAATGGTGCTGCTGTCGAGCGGCTGCTCGCTTGCTGGAGGACGCGGGCTATGGCAGCCTGGCAATGCCAGAAGAAAAGAGCAAGGCGAAGCTGGGCGACGAGGATGCTACGGAGAAGGAAACGGGCGGGCAAGGGGAGTAGGCTAGGTGGGCACTTTGCGAGGGGGTGTTTGTATCTCTCAACAGTTGTGTTTGTTGTTTCCAGAGTTCGATAGACAGTCTGTACCCGCTGCATAATTTTTTACTTTTTGTATTCGATAGGGTAAAGTAGTTCAACTATGCGATAATGCTCAACATGCCATGCAAATTCTGAAAGAAAATCCTACTCTAGTTTCCCCTCTAGTTTCCCCCCTCGTCACGGTTGCTTGTCGAAGTAGGGCCCTCGCCCGTTGCCTTCATAAACTCCGTCCATTTGTCCTTGAACACGTTCTCGGCCCATTCCGTGGTTCGGAGTTCGACGCGAATTAGCTCCCGCGTGATCCTGAGGCGATCTTTGTCCTTGCGGTTTTCGTCTGATGTCTGGACTTTCCGCTTCTTCGTGAGCTGCTTCCTCGAATCCTCCTTGAGAACGAGCCCTTCCGCCAGCATGTTGATCGAGTGCTTCGTGACAATCGAGTCAAGCTTCTTGATGATCGTCGACGTAGCCGCGCTGCTGTCGTCGATCCTGAACGTCTCGATGGCCCTCATGACAACCTCCATTTTCCGCAATTTCGACTCGAGAGCTTTTTGGGACGGAGGCTTTTCTTTTGGCCTGGCCTCCTCTTCAGGGGGAACGGGGGGAGGAGTCGGAGTGAACTTGCTGAACTTGACGGCGAAGCCCCCTCCTGTAAGCGTGTTGAAGACTGTGTCCATTGTTCAGCGGGCTTGGCCCGTCCCAGTAGGACCACGCCTGCCGCACGGTCTCGCAATTGCACCACGGCCACACCACAGCGTCGAACAATGCTTGGTCGAGCTGGCTGCCCACGCTCTGTCGAGTGTGTGTTGTTTGTGGGGCTTGCTGTCTTGGCGGGGTGGTTTCTTCGGTCGCCGTCTGCGGCACGCTCTCGCTATCCCCCACGTTCGCAGCCGCGCTTGTCGACGCGGTAATCTTAAGTGCGTCGAACGCTTTCTACAGTCCCACGAGTGCCTCGTCCTTCACCTCCAACGCCGCTTGCATCGCGCCCTTCTCCCGCTCCAATGAATCGACCTTGTGCTCGAGGTGTTTGATCTTGATTTCTTTCTTCCCTCCTGCCTCCTTGTGTAAGTTAACCTCCGCCGGAAGTTGCTTGATGACGTGCTTGGTGTTGAGTTGAAAGGATGCGTCCTGCACACAAGACGGCGAGCGATGAATGGGCTGATGCAAACACTTCGGATCAAGATGTGGAAGGGCCATCTTACCGATGCTCTCGACATGGTCGGGTTGGTCCGCATCTCGATGCCGTAGTTGTCGAGCAGGTACACGTCAAGCGCCCATTCTTGGAAGTCTATGTCCTTGCACAAATCCGACATCTGTGCGTACGGATGCGCTCGCAGTCACAAATAGTCAGTCCGTCGAAGGGATGGTCGTCACAATGGACGTAGTACATGGCAAGATCCTCTGCGATGGGCATTCGGGCGGCTTGCAGGGCCTTCAAGAAACTTTTCGCTGCGAAGAACATATGCTCTTTGTCCTACTCGTTGTTCCATTCCATCGTCTGAACAAGAAACAAACAGGGTGTCATTGAGAGATAGTACGTGCGTAACTTGCGGGCGATGATCACGCTAGGCGCTCGACGCATCCATACCTCTTGGAGCCACTGCTCCGCCTTCGGAAAGATGTGCTTCTCGATGGCCTTCACGACCTTCTCGGGTACTTCGCTTTTTTATCTTCCGATGTAATAGGTCACCCGGTTCCGTCGTGAACCCCGCTTGCAGCTGGATGACCCCGCGCGGGATGCGTGTGACGTATGACATGCGCATCTCGTTCATGTCCCATTGACCCAGCTGCGCGATGTTGTCGAGTTCACAGTTTTTGTCGGCGAGGATCTGTGCCACAGACCGTCAAAAGATGTGCGTGACTTTCGACAGGATCCACTCCGCACTATTCATCGCCCAGAGCACCCATTTCGCATGAGTTGCGTACGGCAACTCGGTCTTGTCTTTGTCGAAGAGGGCAAGGAACATGTGCTTCTTCGACCAGTTTTCCGGGTTGCTGAAATCCAAGGGGGGCACGATCTTATCGTTCCCGTATTGGAGCGGCACAAGGTCGAAAAGGAAATGTATCCATATGAACACTGCTCCGAAGCCGCACTGCCGGAAGTCCATGTGTCGAGTCAGGTACAGGTGGCCGAGCTTGTTGTCTTTGATGGTCTTCGAGTTGCGATAGGCGACCACGAGGACGTGGATCGGCGATTCCCCCTTGCTGTTCGTGATGGGCGGAAGGACGTGAGTGAACATATTGCAGTAGCGGATCTTGTCGAAATATTTTGTCATGTTTTATAATTGCTTGTAGTTGTAGTTAGTGTAGTTATGTAAACTTTTGTTGGTGGTGCACCTTATTGTGTTTCTATGCTATATGTACCCCTGAACCTATAGTGAAACCCACCTTTTCACAATTTTTCCTCTCAACTCACTCGACTCTCACCCTAGGGGAAAACCCGCTCGATACTAAGTTAGGGCCTAGGCTACTAAGCCTAGGCCCCACGTTTCTACTCTCTATTACCTACTATCTTGACATGGTATCAGAGCTGTTTTCGTCCTGGCCTGTGGGCCCGCGTTACTCTTCCGCTGCTGAGATTTTCCGGTCGCGCGCCTAGGGCGCGTGACGATTTTAGTTTTACCTTGTCCCGCCCACGGGCGTGTGACTCCTATCCTGCCCGTCGCGCGCCCCGTGGCACGCGACGGTGCCCTTTATCTGCCCATCGTACGCCCCGAGGCACACGATGGTGCCCTGCTCGTCGTGCGCCCCGAGGCACACGATCGGGCCCTTTTATCCTACCCGTCGTGCGCCCCGTGGCACTGGCCCGCGACGGGCCTCTCCGCCCCTGCACTCCCTGCTGCCGTCCCTGACCCATCTGCACCGACGCCTCTTCGCCGCTCTGCGGCTTTCTTCCTTCCCACCCCCCCCCCTTTCTCTTGTCTCCCTGCAGCCGTGGGGAGGAGGGTATGGGGGTGGAGGGTGTTGGAGCGTGGGGTCAACTCTCTCCCTTTCCCTCCTCCTTCTTTCAGTCCCACCGCTGCAGCTGCCGCTGGGGGAGGAGGGTGTGAGGATGTGGGTGAGGGGGGGGGGTGGTACCGGGGTGGCGGGGGTGAGGCAACAAGTAGCCGTCCCTCCACCTTTCCTCTTTCCCCCCTTTCTCTGCTGCTTCTGCAGCAGTGTTGGGGAGGGGAAGGAGGAGGGTGAGGAGATGGTAGGGGTACCTGCTGTTGCTGTAACTACACACCTACCTACAAGCATTATGGGGGCGTGTCGAAATATTTTGTCATGTTTTATAATTGCTTGTAGTTGTAGTTAGTGTAGTTATGTAAACTTTTGTTGGTGGTGCACCTTATTGTGTTTCTATGCTATATGTACCCCTGAACCTATAGTGAAACCCACCTTTTCACAATTTTCCTCTCAACTCACTCGACTCTCACCCTAGGGGAAAACCCGCTCGATACTAAGTTAGGGCCTAGGCTACTAAGCCTAGGCCCCACGTTTCTACTCTCTATTACCTACTATCTTGACAGATCTCGCGGATGCTTATCCCCCTGCCCAGCATGTGATGCGCCATCAGGATCATCACCCTCACGGCCAAGGCCCTCCACAGCGACTGGCTGGGGAAACTCATCGACTCCCGAAAGTACTCTATGGCCCAGGACGGCAGGATGTATGAAACAAGAATGCGGAACTGCTCCTCCGTGTAAACATCGTCCAGGGAGCCCCGGTGTGGATCGACGCACTGCTTGCATTGTGTGGGCAGATAGAGCGATTAATGGGTGAGAACAAGAGTGAGAAGTTTTAGTCACCGGTGTATGGCAGCCTACTTACTCGAACTGATAGTCGTGTAGCTGTCGCAGCTTGACCGCAAGAGGGTGCCGAGCCTCGGTGATGTCGTCCAAGGGTTTCGTTAGTGGCTCGTCGAAGAGTATGGCCTGTACTTTGCAGAAGCACGTTAGCGCAGTAAGGCGCGCCAGCATCATCGGAGGGGTGCATTTTTCGGCTTCTTTCCCGCGACTCTGGTCCGGCCTGTATCCAAGGATGCCGCCGGTGCGTCGGTTTCTGTCGACATGTATTCGACGTAAGCGCGCAAGCGCTGTCGGATTATAATAACTGATGCATGTTTGTAGGCTATAGTGGGGTAGCACATATGGGGTACAGCTTTCTAGGGTTGTATTTGTACCCAACTCTGACTTAGTCATTTTCATTCCTGTTTTCCTTGCTTCACATGGTATAGAGCGGGTCCTGCCTTAGGACCGTTTTTAGGGCCCACTGAAGCGCGCCCCGAGGCGCGCCCTTTTTGTTTTTTAGCGACCCCTCGGGTCGCCTTTTCCCTCGCGGCCCCGCTGTCCCTCAGACGCGGCCCCGCCACCTCTCCTGATCGCGGCCCCGCCGCCTGCTTGACGCGGCCCCGCCGCCTCCCCTGACGCGGCCCCGCCGCCTCCCCTGACGCGGCCCCGCCGCTTCCCCTGACGCGGCCCCGCCTCTACTGCCGCGGCCCCGCCGCCGCCTCTGACGGCCGCGCCGCTGCACCCTACGGCCCGCCGCTGCACCCTACGACCCGCCGCTGCTCCTGCCGGCCCGCCGCCTCACCTGACGGCCCCGCCGCTGCTCCTGCCGGCCCGCCGCTGCTCCTGCCGGCCCGCCGCTGCACCTGCCGGCCCGCCGCTGCACCCAGCGGCCCGCCGCCTCTGACGGCCCAGCCGCTGCACCCTACGGCCCGCCGCTGCTCCTGCCGGCCCGCCGCCTCACCTGACGGCCCCGCCGCTGCACCTGCCGGCCCGCCGCTGCACCCTACGGCCCGCCGCTGCACCCTACGGCCCGCCGCCTGCACCTGCCGGCCCGCCGCTGCACCTGCCGGCCCGCCGCTGCACCTGCCGGCCCGCCGCTGCACCTGCCGGCCCGCCACTGCACCGGTCGACCCGCCGCTGCACCTGACGGCCCCGCCCCTGCATCTCCCGGCCGAGCCGCCCCAGCAGCCGAAC